GACCTGACCCTGTGAAAATAGCCCGGATGTTGATGGCACGGTGGGACAACGTAGCCCTCCTCGGCAGACCCGGTCGTCAGATCAATTAGGCCACTGGACTCCTCGGTTATTAGCCTCTTCGCAGTCCCTTGAGATGAAGAAGACTGACTCTCCTGAGGAGACGAAGACGAGCTCTGGCCGCCCTAGACCACAGCTTCCTGCTCGATTAGTTGGCTCACCCACGTCTTCATAGCCCCAGCAACCTTCGAGGAACGCAACTTCTTCACCCGCTCTTCGACGGAAGACATGTTCGCTGCAAAAAATAAAAGGAGTCAGCAACAGATAAAACATACAAAGTCACGAGAAATAGGAAACGTCCCTACCTAGGTAATTAAGAGCATCCGCCGCCGAGGCGCAGCCGAGTAAGGTTTTCGTGTTAATCAACCTCTTCTTCGTTCGCACGTTCCCCTGCGCGTCGAAGATATATCGACCATCAGGCGTCACCAATTTCGACAGGGGAAGACCCTGCACAAACACCACTATCTTCATATAGGCGGCCATGTCCCCCTCGTCGAGGGTCCCAGCCCGCACTATATATCGGTCGGTTCCGCGGTTGAAGTGCTCCGGGGTCCACAGCAAATGCACCTTCGGAAGTCACGCGACAAACCGCTGGCCATCCACCACTCGCTCCCCCTCAGTAAAAAGAGAGTTCGACCCTTCCCTTGTGATCGGCCTCACGAGGAAGAAGCGGCCCTTGAAATCCCGGACGGAGTCACTGTACGTCTTAAAAAGCGTGGTCGGCTGCTTAAACGAGACCCAACCCTGCTGGTCATTCACTGTTTGCCGTTGCAGATGGAAAATGCGGAAAAATAAGGGCACCATGGCCTCGACCTGGAGAAAGCGGCACACCAGCTCGAAGGCGCGGATAAAGGCCAGGGCGTTGGGATGCAGCTGAGACGGAGCCAGACGAAAAGACCCAAATGGAAAGCGGAGAACGGCAGTCTAAGCCGGGCCTCTTTAAAGTAAAACTCGTGCATAGGAAACGTTCGTCGCCCATAGCTCGAGCAGATGCGGTGATGCTCCTTGGGACGGTAGACCTGCCAATTTTGCGGCTCCCCCTCCACCCGATCCTCTATGGTGGTATGGGCACCAGACGTGTCGAAAGCGAAACAAGACGGGGTGGACAGGGGCTCTTCAGCCACCCATTCCTCGATGGGGAGAACCCTCTCGTCAAAGTCTGGGACTTCGGGCTCGTTGTCTTCGACCATCTTCCCCGGTATCAAGGCCGACATGAACACCTGAAAAGCAGAGGATAACAGTGAATTCGATAGCCAAGATCAAATCCACCCTTCCACCGCAGGTCAAGTGAAAGGGCAACGACGGCGGTCTCGCGAACAAAAGACGAACGCCCGGGCAAGCCCCGAGGGGCATTCCCCACCACTTCTCCACGGGACATTCAAAACTAACATATCGCCCCTCCCCGGGGGCTTCATCGGAAGAAGCACCCGTCCCCGGGGAATTCATCAGAATAGTTGATCCTCCCAGGCGCATTCATCTAAACAACCCTAAAACTCCACCAGATACGGCGGAGACTCGCGTCTCTCCTCGGGGCATTCATCGTGCCCCGACCACAAACCCAAATTAAACGACGAAAATAAAGGAAAGGAGGAAGGAAAACTTACTTTATGAGCGGCGAGTCACGGAGTGCGAAACGGACGGCGCGACGACAATTCACGGCAATGGCGGACGGGGATGAACTACAGAGTTTCGTAAACGAAAAGGCAAGGTGAAAAGTAAAAAGTGTGCGGGGACTCCCATATTTATAACCCGGCGCGGAACTCCAAGCGGCACTAGGCCCTTGAGTGCCCTAGGGAAGCCGCCCTCACGCCCACTCAATGCGTGACACATGGCAGTAGGCTGATAGTCGTGTCTTTTCAAATACCTTTGCCCCGCGCAATCGGCGACGTGGATAGACCTTAGCGTGCACGCACCTCGACGAACACGACCCGGCGTAATCTCGCACCTCGCGACCTTCTTCCCTGGAACAACGTTCTCAAGTCCTCGCTCGTCCACCAAAGAGCTTCGACTTGGGGGCTCCTGTTTTGGTCTGGGCCCTGGCCTCAACTCGCGGCCCATCCCAATGATACACAATAAAGGCCCAATATGGCTTGAGTAGGGCAGCCGGGCACGTGACCCCTCGACGGGCAGGGCATGCTCCCGCCGAGGAGAACAGCGTGCCTCAGGACGTCCCCTGCGCTCTCCCTTTTGCGGGAAAGCGCGACCACTCGCTGCCCCTCGTCGGGCAGAATCCCCCTACCGCCGAGCAGGACAACGCGTCTCTCCCACGCCCTCGGATGCTCCCCTTCGTGGGGAGAACAATACGCCTCCGGGGAACCTCGCGAGCTCCCCTCCGCGGGGAGAGCAACGTGCCATTCACACGTTCTCCACGTGCTCCCCTCCGCGGGGACACGTCACCGACCAACTGCCCACTTCCGAAAGAGAAGGTCAAACCCACTTTTCGAAGATCACGGGGCAGTTGGACTAGGGCGAAGACCACGTCCTGGTCTTCACTACGCCACATAAGCCCTAGCAGTTACCTGGGTTGGGCCTGGCAATCCAGCCCAACGCAAGTGACCGTTGGCCCAGCGCTGGGGTCTCTCTATAAATACCCTCTTCCACAAGAGGGTCAGGTGATTCACTTCTTACCCCTTTTTCTGTACTTGTGATCACTCTGCTCATAGACTTACTTTGGCATCAGAGCGTCTTGCAGGTACACCCCATCCTCCTCATCATCATCGGTGAATAGGCAGCAATCTAACAGAGTGTGGCCAGACAACAATCCCCTTCTGATCAGGTCAGATCAGTAATTATAGTAAAATTATAAAAAGGAAAGAGCTAAGTTAGATGCAACTTTTGTACTCAACTGGAAACAATTCACCATCTCTTCTTTAAGTGTCCAACAATTAAACATGTGTGAAATCAAATGTTTTAAATGGATATAAGTTAATCACGAACCAAGGAATGGAGTGATGAACTCAATTGAATTATTAGGAATATTAAGGATAAAGGTTGGAGAGTTCAATTGTTAAAAGAGTGTAGCGGCAAAAACGATTTATGATGTTTGAAAATATAAGAAAGATAGCTGCTATAAAAACAAAGTAAATAATACAAACAAGGAGAAAAAATTATTAACAAAATAGTTTACATTTACAGGATTAGAGTAATCCTAAATTTGAAAAGCGCATTGCTAACATAATGTTAAATTAGTTTACCTTACCCGATTTATGTTTTTTGTCCTTTTGTTGGCTGGATCTTGGATCCTATTTGATTGCGTTTGTACATATTGATTTTTGGATTAATATCAAAGTATTGTGTATTGATTAAAAAATATATTAACAATAAATAAATTGAAAAATATTTGAAATTACTCACATATCCCAAAAATTACTTAACATTTTAACATTTTAGTATAGTTTTATCCTAACAATGAAATCTTAAATTTTCTCTTAATATTTAGTTTTTGTACGGAACTTTGGTTAGGCGTAGACGATAAGACACTCTAAGGCTATTTTTGGTAAGCCACAATATCGAGCTTATAACTAATAAATTCATATACTAATTTAGACATGTTTGATAATAGTATTTTTATCACGAATTTATAGTTTATTTTACTAATTTATAGTTTATTTTTCAAACACTGTTTTAAATAGTGTTTTAGTTTATAGCTTATCATCTTTACTTCCATTTTTATCTTCATTATTTAACAAAAACTCTTAATTTTATCCTTTATAATTTATTTTAGTATAAAATAAAATAAATATGTATTAAATATCTTTTATATCATTTTACATTATTTTTACCAAACAGAACTAAGACTTATTGAAAGAAGAAAAATGTACAATTTAGAGTTAATATTTTTAATTAAATAAATCACATAACTTTTTAATCAATTTTAGGTTGCCCTTTCTTGCACATTTGAAGTCTAATCTTACTATTTTATAATATTAATTAGTATTTTTCAAAAAGTTAACTATTAATAAAAGCCTGCGGACAAGTTAGCTAAAGCATGAAGTGTATGCAGGTTATGGAGTTTCGTGAAGAAGTTTCGGTTTTTATTCAAGATTTGATTCTTCAGAATATCATTGGAACTATGTTACAGAGAGTTGTGGTGTAGTTGCTTTCTTTTTGGACTTAAGCCCTCTCCATAATAAATAAATAAATAAAAGCTCTAGTGGGAAACAAATGATACTATAACAAATTTGTTGTGAACTGTTTCCTCATCTGGCGATGGAATTGAAAGGGCAATATAAAACTCAGTTTTATCTTGTGTGCAATTGTTATTAGTTTCATATACAAAAGTATATAATGTGAATCAAATATAGTTCTCACACAAATATATAGTAATGTTCATCAGAATTACCAATGCACTTATTTTCCTCATAGGCTACTTCCATGCACACCTCACCCATATAAAAAATCTTAGACATCAAAGAAACTATAATCAATTTATCATCTTTGATGAAATTAAAAAAAATAATAAAACGCTGAATATACAAATAAACACCACAGTTTTGTGAAGACCTATGAAAAAAAAGTAGAAATAACCAAATGACAGCAACCTCAGTTACATGTATAGCCTGTCAAATGGTTGTCAAGCTCGTGCTCAAACATTAGTATAATAACAATACGATTCAGGATGGCTTTATTATTAAATTATTGTTGAATAGAATACATGGCACACTACAGTGTCCTTACAGGCAGCAAACATGTATTCACAACCTGCTAGACATTTCATCAGATGTAATAATAATATTTACACAGCAACTAGGAATGGAAAAAGAACATCACCAAACTACCTAACAGTACACAATTTCTTAACTTGATATCCCCTACGTTAGATTGTCGAAACGGATAATCGTCCATAATCTAACGTCAAAGGGGATGATAACCAGAGTAAAATACTAATAAAGTATGTTAAATAAGGAAACCATAACAACATAGATGATAACTAGTAACTAGTCTTAAATCCAACTCTGGGGCATGATATTGTAACCTTTGATTGGCATGGATGGATCCATACCAGCTAGACCTTTGCCATTGCTTGTACCACTGCCAGAACTTGCCGTCAACATTGCCATCAGACTTCCGCCATGCACCCTGCCTTCAGGAACAGAAACTGACATAGGATAGTGACCACCTTCCTCGGCTGAGGCACCAGTATTTGCATTTTCATGTTGGTTCATGTGTGAAGTTCTCGGAGTGGTACCAAAGCTACTCCCTATTTTCATCATAGCCCCTTCCATGTCTTTGTCGAGGAGTACCTGCCTTAGTTGATCTGGCTTGCTAGAGCGAGGATCCTGAACAGATCCCAAAGAGAGACCTCCATGAACCCTTCTATCATGCACTAGTCCACTATGAAGTGCACATAGACCTGTTTTCCCCCTTGCAAATGAAGTACAAGGACCATCTGGTTGGATGGCATATTCTGACCCAGGATGGCCCCACGAGCATCTCTTGCCTCCCCCATGTGCCTTGCAAAAGTCAGTACTTCCTTGTGCACTCTTTCCACACCCATCAAACTTGCATCTCTTGCCTCCCCCGTGGCGGACACAGTGATCAGTCCTTCCTCTGGCACTCTTTGTGCAGCCTGCTACAGCACACCTCTTTCCACCCCCATGTGCCACACAGAAGTTGGTACCTCCATGAACACTTTTAGAGCAAATTCCACCACCCTGGTATGTACAACGTTTCCCTCCACCGTGGCCCTTACAAAAAGGGGTGCTCCCCTCAGCACCCTTAGTGCATCCTGGTGCTGTACACCGCTTTCCTCCACCATGTGCTTTGCAAAACATGGTGCTCCCTTGTGCCCCTTTTGTACATCCAGAAACCTGGCATCGACGTCCTCCACCATGCGAGATGCAAAGACCTGACAGGCCTTCTGCACTCTTGGTGCAATTTTCTTTCTGGCACCTCTTGCCACCACCATGCCGGATACACAGTCCAGATTTCCCTCTGGCAGCTCTAGAACAGCCATCATGGCTGCATCTCCGGCCACCACCATGGGCAATACAGAAATCTGTTCGTCCTTCTGCACTCTTTGTGCAACCAAGGTATTCACATCGCCTGCCACCTCCATGGGCCTTGCAGTACACTGTACGACCCTCAGCTCCCTTGTGGCAGCCAGGTTTCTGACACCTCCTACCACCACCATGAGATATGCATCGTCCAGAGGCACCTCTAGCTCCCTTTCCACATCCCTCAACTTGACATATCTTGGAATTGCCGTGACGATGAGCCGGCTGTTGCTGATGTGTTAGCCCAGAAACACAGGTGACTGAACTTTTTGGTCCAGATGAGGAGTGGTCCAGAACAATAGGACTATGATCAAACTGCTTTGGAGCCTGGTTAAAGAGGAAACTCGTCTCCGTATTTAATGATGCCTTCAGAGGTGGCAAAACAATCCCCGGCTTCCAACTGCATGACGTAGATCCCTCATCTGGATGTTGTGCCCCACTGAATACTGATGCCGTCTCCATATTCAATTGAAGAGGGGATGGGTTTAGATGAACACTTGTAATATCTGACTCGCAGGGTCTGGTGGAAAGGCTCAGCTCCAAATCAAACTTCGGTTGCAACTCCAATGTCTTCATATTGAAATCAACTGGTTTCTTAAGGCTATGTAACTTCTCACAACCGAGATTAAGAGTAAAGTCCAGTTCAATATCCATAGATGATTCCTCCTCAATATCTTTGCCCGAAGACATAGCAGTGCAAGCAACAGCTGAACTTCCCTTGCTGTCTGACGAACTGGTTGAACGCCCAAGCCCAAGTGACAGGGAAGAGCCAACAGTCTGACCAATAGATCTATCAATTAAATCCCACTTCCTTTTTGTTCCCCTAAAGGAAGGCTTGTGGGAGGGAATTGAAGAACCAGGGGAATCAAGTCGCAACACAGTATCTGTACCATAATAACCAGCTCTATTTCCTTCAACTTGCATAGAACTGCCCAAAATCTTGAATGCATTTGCAGAATTATTAACAGGAAATCCCAAGTGCGAGAACCTTGATTCCATAAAACAACTGCAAAAATAAATTTCTAATCCTATTTATGAACTTCAACAAAACAGCTAGCCTAAATTCTTACAAAAAAAAAGATTTATATCTACAAAGTTAGGGTTAGATGTTTCCACAAGAGTACAATGCACCCCCGCTGACAAATCCCGATGTATCACGTCGATCCATCTAATATACAGAAGAATTAAACTGAGGTTGAGTTTTTGAGTTGTTGAAAGTGCAAATCAACCCAATAACATCTGACACCTTCCAAAACCCACAGAGGAAGCAAGCATCCTGTTGACAATAAACCATGGTTAGAACTGGAACTTAAGCCAAAATAAACATGATTTCAGTGACATTTACAAGACATTGAGCATCAATCTGAATCAAAATTGGTAACACATGGTATAGATAAGCATCACCAGAAAAATCTACAAATTTACTATTTCCAAATACCTGATTTTCAATGGCACAAAATAAAGAAAATACTCTAAATCTATAACAGAGAAACTTTTTCTGAAAAAGTTTTCAACAATTGTAACAGACCAAAGGGAAGAGAATATAATTTCATATAATTCCAGAAAATATTTTAACAGAATCTAGGAGGGAAAAAAACATTCATCATAAACATGAACAACAATCCCAAAATTCCAGAGGATGAAATTTTTATTCAAAAAATATTTGGAGAGAACAGCAAAAACCAGAGAGATAGCTGAACTCCAAGTGAACCGACACTTGAATAAGCCATTAATCTAACAAGATAGCATACATAATGCACCCATTAATCAAATAATTAGGGGCAACTAAAATTGATTAAATCAAAACCAACCAAAAGAAGAGCACGATCTAGCACAACCAACAGTAAACTTGAACAATATCACCCTTTAAAAATTTAACCCAAAAAAAATTCTTATTTTTTAAAATAAAAAACACAGCATATCATAAGAAAATAGAGAGAGAAAAAAACATTCATAAAACTTGAAGATTGCAGAGAATTACAATACAAAACACTGTTCAGTTTAGAATCTGAAACCTCTACCATGAAAATAGAATATCAGAAAGGGAAAAAAAAAGCACGGAAGCGGAAATATCTAATACTAAATTACTTATAACAAGCATCGGAATATGCTGAATTCCCTCCCGATCGGTGAAATTGAAGTAAAAATAATAATTTTCTGTCCGTGAATTGCAGAAAAAAGAGGAAGAAGAACAAAATTTCGGATTCAATTTTCATTATTACAAATTTCAGCAGCTTCAAAAACTCATAATTTTCAATAAAAAACAAAATCCTGTTATTACAGAGTAGAATTACCTATAAATAAGAAAAAAAATTGAAAGGTAACTGAAATGATAATTCAGTATAAAATTGAAAGAAAACGACAAAAACTAACAGAAATTGAAAATAGAGATCAGAGGGAGAATTACCTAACTAGTATCTCGATTCGATTTGATTTGGATTTGGAATCGGAGAAGTGGCTGTGATATCTAGGGTTTGTGGAATTGAGAAAGAGAAGAGAGAAAAAACGCAAAGATGCCGACAGAGAAGAGAAGGGTGAAGAAAGAAAGAGTGAGGTAGCAGCAATAAGGATGAAGAGGCGCGTGTTTACTGTTAGGACTGTGGGCGTACGCTATAGCCAAATTTAATACCACGTTTCTAGGGTTACATTTTTCTCTTTTTCTATTTTTTTTTTCTCCTACTTTTTTTCTTTCTTTTTTCTTTTAATATTTTCTATTTTTTGTTTAAATATTTAAGAGTTAATTTGTTTAGTTTTTAAATATTCATAACTTTTTAAAAATATTTATAAATTAAAATTAAAAGTTAAATATCAAGTTGGACTCGGCTATTTACTATTTAAATATTAGATAATTTATTTTTTCTGCGAATGGAGATGGCTAAAAGCCCGAACAATATTATAAAAAAGTGTCCCACCTCATTAAGATGTTTCTCAAATCCTCAGTATACATATTTTGACCTCTTTAGGACAATAGTAAATAAAAGTAGTGTCTAAGTTATGTTTTACACCTATTTTTGTCAATTTGTGTTACGTCATAATTTTTTTTGAAATTAAACTATTGATTAATTTAATTCAGAAAAGTAAGAGTCGCCGTCAAACTTTATTGTTTTCAAAGGGAATGGAAAAAGTTCAAACAAAACCCATAAAAGCAACAAAAGAAACTAAAAAGAGAGATCTGGATACTATAGTTGGTTATGCAAGAGGAAGATATTAACACCTCTCACATCTGTGGTGCTCCACAGGAACCACTATGCTTATATGTGTTAGAAGACTAATATTGTTTGTTAATTGATTTTAATTGAAAAGACATTGTATCATATTCGAGTGGAAAACTCAACTTACTACCCACAAGTATGAGAAAATGAGCACTTGCATCAATCTTGATATGAAGAACTTTACTTGGATTTTCTCAAAAAGTACATCTCAACATTCAAGTGAAAAATGTCAATCATTTTTCGACATCTTGTAGAAGTGTAGTGATCTGCATCACTGTAAGAATAGGCTAACATCTAATCTTTCTAAAAATAGACTCTTACAAAAAAAGGTGCACAAAGGCATAAAAAGAGTTTGATGAGGTTTGTGTTTTTTAAAGGTTTTGAAAAGAGTTCCAATATGCTTAAGTGTTTTAGCATATATTAAGAATTTTTTTCTAGACCACTTGACAAAATCAAGGTTTATTAAGAAAAATGTGTGAAGTTTGAAAATAATAAGTTTTTGAAATAGACAAAGGTTTTGAAAATTGAAGAAGCGAGAGGAAATGAAGAGACTATCCTAAAGCATAAAGTAAATGACATGAAATAAAAGGTCTCATTGTCAATTAACCCAAGAGAAAGCCTTCGTGTGTACAAGTGAACTGACCAAGAAGAACAACCATTTAACATTGGTTAAAACCAACATTGTTTTTCCTTTAGATTGAGCCACAAGATAATAAAATGAGCAGATGAATACAAGATCCAGATGAATAAAGTCAGAGAGAAACATCCAAGTTTTGAATTGAGGACTAAATGAATCTCAATGTCTCAAATGAATCACTCTAAGCAAAGGGAAAAAGTCATATATCTAAGTTCAATAGTCCAAAGTCTCCAAGCATATGATAGTAACACAAAGTCCAAATGAGAACCACATTAAGTTTTTTAGAGTTTTGATCATTATTAATGTTTTTGGTCTTTGAAGATAAAGAAAACAAAAGCAAAATATAAAGCATAAAATAAGAGTAAAGATAAAGATGCTTGAATGTAAATTCTCAAATAGAAATGGCATGAAAATAAATTGTATAAAAAATAAATGGCTTAAAATAAATTGCATTGACGTAAAGTGCATAAAGTAAATGTTAGCACAATTGATATTGGTTAACGTTAGTGTTAATGAGAATTAAACCGATTCGGGACAAATTTAGTGATATGTTAAGCAATTGGAATTATGTAGAAGTTACAACTATATGAGATCGGTCAATAACAATTTATATGTCATACATGTTAGAGAAATGACACAAAGTCATTCTCCTAAAACAATATATCACAAGTCAAAACAAAAAAAGAAAAAGAAATATATATATATATATATATATATATATATATATATAGATAGATAGAGAGAGAGAGAGAGAGAGAGAGAGAGAGAGAGAGAGATGATCAACCACAAAGGTAAGTAAGATTATCTATCGTCAACTTCAATCAATCCTCTTCCTAATACCTTGAGATAAACTTATCATTAATCCAAAGTACCAAAAATGATCAAATGATCATTTAATGATAAGTTTGAAATGAAGAAAGATCAATCCATCAAAGTATCAATTCAAAGTCTAATTAACAAGATGAAGCATCAATCAATCACAAATGATCCAAAGTCAACAAAATGTCAAAGCATAAAATGGAAAGAAAAAAAACAAGAATACAAAAATGGAAAATAAAGAGAAAATACCAAAGAGACATAAAAACAACAAATAAATGTCCCAAAATTTTTGAGAAAATCACAAATACTATAAGTAGTGAGATCTCAAAAGTTAGGATTAAAAATATTTCAAAATGCTTGAAAGTAAATTGTTGAAATAAAAATAAAGAGAAAATGAAAATAAATGCTAGAAATTATTTTTAAAATCTGAAAAAACATATGTGATGGAAATATTTTTAGAAATTTATGAAATTAAATTGGAGTGAAAATTCATTTTGGAGATATTTTATGAATTTTGAAAGAAAATAGAATTTAAATGAAATGAATAACAAGAAAAAGAAATTCAAATACAACGACTAGCTATGTGGCACGCTCTGGTTGGTTGGATTCAATTTTTTTCCGCAAAGAGCATCTTCTTCAACCTCTGACCTTTGATTTTTGCAGGTTCATGAACTTGAAGTTTTAAGCCCAAACACCAAACGTGCAAGTCTCTACTTCATTCATCGTTCATATCTCTCTACATTAGAGCATTTGATTTATTCTGAGCAGAGAGAATTTGCTCAAAAACACGAAGAAACCTAGTTCTTAAAAGTAAAATTAAATAAATAATACAAAGAATAAATCAAAGGTAAGTGAGGGCTTTTAACCAGTGAATCAAGACGAAGAGAATGATAACTCGTTTGCTCAAGAATTTAACTCGTAGCCACCTTTCCAGTTGAAGCTTCAGAGGTCAACAATGGCGGAATTGAGTTGAAGGTTGAAGGAGGTTTCAAGCTATGACAATAATTTAGTTAGCTTCAGAGGAGGACGGCGAAGGATTTTGGACAAAGATTTGGAGTTAAAACATGCTCAAAATGAAGTAAAGGTTTCTGGTTTTTGGAGCTTTCAAATAGTGAGAATGGTAGAGGTTTTGTGGCTGTCCAAGCTTGGAAAAGAAGGAAAAATAATACTCTACTTATAGGAGAATGAATGAGGTTGCAATACGTGCCAAATGAGATCCCAAACATGTGAACCAAGTTGAGAAAATTCTAGATTCAAACCGTGTGAAAATTTGGCACGAAATGCCTGAGTTTGAAGCAATTTTAATTCGTTTTATATTGTACCATATGTGT